AAATTAGATATTTTCAATTTCTATCTTCAAAGTTTAAGTAATTTGAAATTTTTTTTGTTATTATCATTAATATTTTTTATTAAATTGTGTATTTATTTATATTTTTATTATTTTCAGCAAACATATGAATGGGATCCTACGATTGAGAATACTGTAAAAGATTTATGGAACATGACAGCAAGGATCAAGTTCAAGCATGCACTTAGTGAGTTGAAAGCTAAGTGTGCAAAAAGAAACTTTAAAGTTAAGCCTCCAGATATGAATCCAGAGTTATGGGCGAAGCTTGTTCATTTATGGACTGAGGTAATGGAGTAAATTCATGTGTTTATTATTATTTTTTTTTAATATATGTGTTCACCACTTTTACAGGACGAGGGTCATTTGAGAAGGTCAAGTTCTGCAAAGGCTAATCGAGCAAAAGGACCGAGGGTGACGCATACCAGCGGTTCAATGGACGTTAATGTTTATAGAAAGAAAATGGTATAAAAGTTAACATATTTTTAATAAATAATTAATGATTTATGATTTATGATTTATTTTATATTGATTTTAATATTTTCTCTTCTTTTTTTTTTCTTTACAGCAACAAGCAAACCCTGAGGGTCATCCACCAACATATCCTGAGGTCTACACCAGTAGAAGGCAGCACAAAGGAAAAGGAAAAGACCAACTGCCTGTATATTGTAATGATGAGGCTCAAGAAATTGGAGTAAGTATTTAACTTAACAATTTTATTTTAAATTGTGTCATGAATTAATTAAAATTATTTTAATTATAATATTTAAACTATTATACAATATAGTTATTGGTAAAAAGTTAGAACTCCATCATTTTAGGGGAGAGTAAATTGAATTTGGGTGCCTAAAGTGATATTTTTAATTTCACTTTACTTTTCAATACAATTAATTATTTATTTTGTCTTATATTATTTCAAGAAAAATTGACAGCTGAATATGCTACTAGACAAGAGGAAAAAGGATTTGACCCTACAATACCTCATGCTGAGATATTACTTAGGGCAACTGGTGGGGTCAAGAAAGGATGGTTGAAAGGTTTGGATATACACACACATCCACAGGAACCTCGGAGTGAGACAGACGTCATGCACTCGTGAGCGGGGCCCACAAATGCACAAGGCTCGAAACCTACTGAGTTCTTACTTAGCAATTCAGGTAATTCAGATCTAAGCCTTTTTAATTACCAAATATTTACTAGTCATATGTACAAAATTTATCACTTCATATATACAATCATGATTAACACTAAGTTGTGTACACAAAAATTTCTAAGTCAAACATGGGTGATTGACGGCCTAGCTACAAAAAATCTAAGTCCAAAAGTGCCTACCTGTCTAGCTCGTCACTCCCCCGGGCTCCCCACGCGTTGGGTCTCACTACCTAAAATGGTGGACAAGAAAAACTATGAGATAAACTCA